TTTCACCCCCCCCCCCACTCCCCACCCCCAAATCCGCCTCTGCTTATTATTAAGATTGATCTAAATTTGATTTAAATATATTACATATTAGGCCTAAGGTACATTGTAATCGATCTATAGCATAGTTACCAACTCTCGCATTTCAAAATGATTTTGGATGAAACACATATTTTGCAGAAACACATGCGTGATCCATAATTTATCACGCATTTAGCACAAATTTATGCGTGTAACGAATTATCACGAATTCAGGCTACAAGTACCAGTACCAGTACCAATAATTGAGTCATTAGAAAGTACTTAATATTTATGTGAATATTTGTTTCACTGACGCGTTACCAAAAATTTATCAGTGAAATGTTTAGGTCAACATAGTTCGGGTGCTCAATTACATTGAAACTAAAAATATTTTTGCTTTTGTCACCGTTATTGTCAAGACACACTCCCTGAAATCGTTTTAAAACAGCTTTAATGCTCAGATCGTCGGAGCGCCTGGGGCCATGCCCCCTCGACCCCAACTGGGGTATACAATCTAACTCTAGAGTAACTTCGAAGAAGTCTCTGGCACAACGCTTGCTTGAAATTGGAGGTGCCATCGGACCCGAATGATCATCGAGTTCTACATAAAGAACACTGCAGCACCTAGGCCTATACAATTCAAATGGGCAATAATAAATTAATTAAAGTACAGTATTTAATTTATATTAAAAATTGATTCCAAAAAGATAGAACCACTAGGATGGAACATATGCAAACACACACAATATATGGTACAAACTTGCATTGAACTGTCTTCATAAAGCTTAAACGTGGATAAACTTCATATAAAATAATAATATTTCATCCGAACAATTTAAATTATTAAATGTAACTGTTATCTTTTAAATAAACTCTATTACGTCCAATCGGCTAAAGGGGTCCGGATAACAGGCCTAGTATAGATTAAGCGTTTAGTGCAATACAAACAAAGGTACATGATTAGAATCAAATATCGAATTTAAGCTAACAAAAACAACATATCCAAAACAAGTCTACGTTATATTAGGCCTATAGGCCTATTGAAAAAAAAATGTAAACTTTTTAAAAATTCGGCCAAATTCGGCCAAATATATTTTGGCCATGACTTTTCAAACGTTACGGCCAGGCAAATTTTTATACGGCCAGATTTGAGGAATCTGGCCATAAAAAAGGCCAAATGGCAACCCTGTTGTGTTGAATTCCCTGCGCATGCGCAGATCCATCCATGTTACATCTCGGAAGCTTTACCATAGCCTGGGTGCAGTAGGAAATTAGCGGGAAAAAAGTAAAGGAAAATTAATTTTTGGTTTTTCTGAATCAGTATATCATATAGTGTCTCAGAAAAAAAATCCCCATTCTTGGGCAATTTTTTCTATAGCACTTTAAAATTTTGACATAAAATATCCTATTTTGGGCTAATTAAGATGGGGGTAAGGGAAATAAATGTATGTTTTTAGTCACTTTTTCATATGCTATGTATATCAAATGTAACAAGGATTTGGCTAAATAGTTACTCCTCACTCTCGTTAAAAAATTTAATCAGAATAATGACGTCATCACAAAAAAATCCAAGATGGCTGCCATTTTGGTGGTAAAACTCTTTTAAAATGTAAATTTAACTTTATTGTTATCAGAGCAATTTCAAAACAATATATATCCATACACACACACACACACACATATATATATATATATACTGTATATATATATATACATATATACATAATACACACACATACATATATATATGTGTGTATATATATGTATATGTATGTATATATCAGAGGTAGGTTCAAGTCGAATCAACTGGTAATTAGATACGTTAACATCTTGCGCGATGTAAGACTATATATAAACATGGAGGAATATTCCTCCATGATATAAAGATATAGGAGAGTGGTAATGGAAACAGTGACAGCTGCATATTGACGTCCATAACCTTTGACTCCTCTTCTCTTCTTTTAATGTACGAACTTTGTCAGTACAGTACACAGTAGCGTATTTGAGCAAGTTCATTTATAATGGGAGTGTGTGTGTGTGTGTGTGTGTGGATGCGTGTGTGTTTTATTTTATTGTTGTATGTATATCATTGTTTTTGAAATTGCTCTGTTAACAATAAATTGATATTACATTTTAAAAAAGTTTTTACCGCCAAAATGGCCACCATCTTGGGATTTTTGTGATGACGCCATTATTCCGATTAAATTTTTTAACGAGATTGAAGAGTAACTATTAAGCCAAGTTCTTGTTACTTTTGATATACATAGTATATTTAAAAGTGACTAAAAGCATACATTTATTTCCCCTACCTCCATCTTAATTAATCCAGAAAAGGATATTTTAGGTCAAAATTTCAAAGTGCTGTAAAAAAAATTGCCCAAGCCCTAGGCATGGGGATTTTTTTTTCTGAGACACTATAGGGTATGCTGATTCAGAAAAACCAAAAATTAATTTTCCTTTACTTTTTTCTCGCTAAAGTTCATTTCAGCAGTTTTACAACCAGACTTACCAGCCTCAGCGAGGCTGGTAAAGATTACCGAGACGTTCCGAGATTTTACAAGGATATTACACGGAGGTACTTTCACACGTGCCGTAAAATGTTACTTTTGGTTACATTTTGTTACATTTGGTAAGATTTTTGTACGTGTGAATCGGGTATAAGTTGACTTTTAATGAGCATATAGAGGTTTGCTGCAAAAGTAATAGAATGCTAGGCCTAATTAAACGCAACTGTTGGAATATTAAGAACCAAAAAGCATTAACTAATCTGTATTGTTAGACCTTATATCGAATTTAATTCTGTTATTTTTAATTGCATGTCTAATACATGCCTTACTAAAATTAATATTATTCAAAAAGGATTTGTTAAATTTGTTTCTCGTACTTGTAATATCCTTTCCAATTATATCATTCTTCCTACTTTAAGTTCTAGACTAAATTACCTTGATTCTCTCTTTTTTTATAATTGCGTTAATGGAGTTTATGGTTCTGATCTTATTTCAGTTTTTGGTTTATCTGTTAAAACTTATGGATGTCGTAATTCTATCAATTCCTTATATAATGTTAAATTTTCTCGTGTTAATGCTACTAAATTTAGTTTTATTGTTCAATTACCTAAATTTTATAATTCTCTTGTTGGTAAAGATAATTCTATTGATATTTATTGATTCATTTAGAACGTTTAAACGTAAAATTAAGTTATATATTTAGATTTTTGACTGTTTTTTTGTGTTTAGTAACTGGATTGTTCTTTATTGTTCTCTTTGTTTTATATTATTCCATTCTGTAAGTGGCGGGCTCCCCGCTGTTGATTGTGAAATGAAATAAAATAAAATAAAATAAAATGAACTGTAGGCCTATCTTACTTTAATCTCAATGTCTAACGAGCTTGAAATACAAGGCGTGTGCAAATGACATACAAAAGTATTTGTTGGTATAAAATGTGACAGTTATAAACGAATTTATTAGGAACATCTATAGAAATGTAAACATTTCACACACTTGTACAAACAACAATAAAATATAATGTAACTTCATTGCACTAAAACTAATATATTATATACAATACACCCCCCCCCCCCACACACACACACAGTAGATCTGCAGTTTTTGAAAGGTCTGCATGAGGTATACTCTGTCACTGCATTCCATACACTGATACAGTAAAAATGAAACAGGTTCACATATCATTTTAACCCCTTAGAGAATAATTTACCATTTCACTCAAATAGGAATGGTACTACTCGATAGTAGGCCTATTAGTTTTCGAAATCACTACATAAACATTTACAATTCTGAGACTCAACCCTGTATGCAAACAATGGACCACGGGTGACGCCAATGGGGCCCTTGGTCCACTTTCGCGAGATTTTAAGCAACGACCGACCACGCCCACCTTGCTCTCTTCAGGGATACCGGCCCCTCCGTCGGGGACCTCGTTTCCCCTCTCCCCCTGTACAATGCACCTTCCTGAAATGCCAAACTACAAAACTGACCAATAAAAACAAGGTCAGGAATACACGTATTTGCAGATACTATTGCCTGCAAGTACCGTAAAACCTTGAATTGAAGCCCCAAGCTCCTTTTTTTTTTCTGCGAACATTGGATGGGCTTCTTTTCGTGGCTATTTTTGCAAAGTGAAGAAAGGTGCTTCTTTTCAAATTGAATGCTGTAAATTTGGGGAATTTGTATTATATTATTTGTATTTGTATTATATTTGGTTTCTTTCAAATTCAAGTACAGTGTATGTACTGTACTATCCTGAAAAAAAGCCGATGGGCATTTTTTTCGAGGCTAATTTTTCAAAGGAAAGAGGGGGGGGGGGGTTCAATTCGAGATGGGCTTCTTCTCGAAATGAAACCCAATGGGCTTCAATTCAAGGTTTTACGGTATTACAAAAGTTAGCTCACCATGAAAAGACATTTAAAAATCGTGTTAATGCGAATCCTTTCGGTTCTAGATAACAACTTGTTAACAATGTGTTTGCATTACAGTACTTGTATCACAAGACACTTATTAAATTAATACTGTATAAACAATCGAGAAATTATGAGAAACAATCTTTAGAAATATAGTAAATTCTGCTAAAATGTAGAGCTACAGTATATGCAGAATTTCTAAAATGTTGCTGATAGATCATCTTTTCCTTAAGATTTTTAAAAAGTTAGAGTTAGATTATTGTTTTCTATATTATGTACAATGTATTTTTTGTGACCTCTACTAACAATGCATGTTTCCTTCCAGTCAATTCGGACAAATTGATGTAAATCGTAATGAGTAAGTCTATATCTATATAATACATATCTAAAATTATTAAGTCTATATCTATATAATATACATCTATATCTACATATAATATAAGATTGTATTATTACAATACTGAAGATTTGAATAAAAATGAATATGTCTATATAAATAATATAAAATAATATATATGTAATGTATATAATATATATATATATATATATATATATAAAATTAACAAACTATACTTCATACTTTCATTCCAGTAGAAACTTGTATCTTGTTTCGTCAGGTGATGTCTAAAACTGGCAATAATATCGAGGGAAAGTATTTTTTGTGACCTCTATTAACAACACGTTTCCAGGTCAATTCAGCCAATTGATGTAAATCGGAACTTCAATGAATATGTCTATATTATATAATACATATTTATATCTACATATACATAAAATATTGTATCATTATTATAATACTGTAGATTTGAATTGAAATGAATAAGTCTATATTTGTGTGTGTAATGTATATAATAAACAGAGGAAATGTAAACTTTTTACTTCATACTTTTATTCCACTACAAGCTACTACACTCATCAAGTAATATCAAGGAAAAGCTTGAATAAAATGATTGAGAAGCAGATAGTGAACAATACTCATTTCATTAGGTGTACACATGATGAGTGGAATAAAAGTGTGAAGTAAATTAGTTCACATTTCTTCTGTTATTTAGCTCTACTTTGGTATTGAGCACTCTCCTCCTGATGATCCTGAATCAAATACTTGTGTGTGTGTGTGTATAAAAAAAATATTTCATATATAATCATTATTATCATTATACTATATATAATCATTATCATACATAATTTTGAAAATTTTCAAACAGGAAAGTGTATTGCCTGTTCCCTTTATGATTCCAAACCAAGACCATGTCTATGTTGTTTCTCTACCCAGGGCAAATCTTCCCATCATACAATGTTGTATTAAGATGTATTAAGACAAAATCTGAAATTTTTAAATTAGAGACCTTACTGAACTGATCAGAAAATTTGATCAGTATGTAAAAATAGGGACGTTTCATTCAATGCATCTGAAATGTACTTTAAATATTGGTTTGGTTTGGTTTGATTGGTTTGGTTTTGGTTTGGGTTTGGTTTCGTTTGTGAATGCAGCTCTATTCCTGTGTATCATCTGATTTATACGGGCACCAGTCAATTCGAGCGGATGCCACTTCGAGCGAATGCCGGTTCAAGCAGAATTTATTCGAGCGGATGCTAATTCGAGCGGAGAAAAGATTCACATGTGCGAACAACAGCCTGTGCGAGTTATGTATGAATTACTTTAAAATTTCCTATTTTGAGCTAAAAATCTGCATTTGGCCGAGGCTCAGGTTTTGCCTGGGAGCCAGGTACTAGCGTTATTACTCTCCCCTCCCAAGGAAATTAATTGCAAGTAGTTGAAAATCACCTTATTTTGCAAGTTTGCACCCCTCAACTGATCATCGAACCCCACTACTTCACCTTCGCGCCCCCAATCAGAACCCCCATTTCAAGACTTCTAGATACGCCACTGGAGCCAGTAATGTAAATCTGTTATGTAATCCGTTTGAACTGGCATCCGATTTATACAGTTCAAGCCAAATTGCATGTGCTGCTTTTCTTGTTGGGAACTTTTACACCCTTGTGGTTTTTCGATCCACTGACATTAGATGGCTCTGTCTTTGGAGGTGTTTGGAATGCATGATCTGGTTGACTAACTTTAGTTTCTTCTTTTGTCGAATTTGGCTTTCCATCGTCATGTTCGTCAGCTGTGGATTCTTCCTTATCTTTCACTTTCTGTTCAACTTTTTCTAATTGATCTTCAGACAATACCACATGAAGAAGCATCTGGAATTATTCATATATAGTAAAAACTTGTTAAAAATTCTACTGATCAATAATAATAAGAAATCTAAATTTATATACTGTATTAACATATCTTTATTTTAACAAATTGTGAACCAAAAATTCAATTTAACTTATGCTAGGCTTAGTACCAATAAAAATAAAATACACATGAATTCCGAAAGAATTATATTATAGTAACAGACAAAAAAAGAGACAGGAAATATTCTCTCAACAACACAATGGTCCTTAAATAACTTCCTATGTGGTGTACCACAACATGTATTTAATGTTATTTAATTATTTATTATACAAATCATTTTCATTCTAATAATAGGTACAACAACCAAAATTATCTATCTTTCTTCAAAAACTGGGATTCAAACATTAATTTATGTTACCAATTACCTCACTTAGTTTTTTTTCATCAACTTGCTGAACTTGATCTAAATCATTTGTTTCAGCGATCAGTCTTCCAATATTAGTCAATACAGGCCTTGGTACTGCACTGCAGGTTCTAAATGAAACAAATAAAAGTAAATATTGGAATTGCTTACAATGTGTATTTTAAGTCTAATAGAGGACCATCACTTGGAAGGGATGTTAAAGTCATTGGTACTCTTCAGAAAATTATTCACCACAAAATTACAATGAAAAGCTTTCAAACTTGGTAGGTTAAACTTGGTGTATTTTTAAAAGGAAATAAAGCCAAAAAAAAAAAGAATATGAAATACAAAGCGATTGGACACTCTTTTTATACAAGCTGTTTCCTCATGCTGGTTCTTGAAAATGTTGGCAGAGAACCAAAGAGAGAGGTCTTAAGAAATGCACTGATTCTCTAATAAATAAAGCAGCATCAACAAGTTTCATATCATTGGAAGTTCTTGCTGTTAAAATGAATTAAACTAGGACAATAAAGGACTGATTATATTCTATATGTTTTTAAAGTTAGAACATACCTTTTTGTACGAAAACTGTCAATAACCTTTTTAGCAGCAATCACCAATGCTAAGGCTTCTGGCTCTGACACCTCTTCATTTGAAATCAGGGTCAAGATCTTCTCGCTTACAGTAACTTTGTTTCTGGTTTAGGTAAGAAATAGACTTCATAAATGACATTTAAAGTTACATATTTAAGAAAAAATTTTTAAATTTCTAATCGTGATTTTATAGAAATTTTATAGAAATAACAAGGAGCAAAAATATGTAACACAAACATAAAAGCTGGTCCTCCATATTTTAACTTAAAAAGTCTTTGGTGTACTTACTGCATAATTAAAGAAGACCAAACTGTGTCTGCTGTAGAAACAGGGTAGAGTACAGTATGAAAATATGTTGGTTTCTTAGGCAGATTATGAACCTGGATTGGAAATAATACTGGGTTCTCCTGCGTACGATGGCGGCATAGCGCAATGTTAAAATCTTCTGTACAATCATGTGACTCAGTGTAGCTTGGGGAGACGAATGTTACAACCTTTGTTGCATTATCCAAAACATTCCGCATCTCCTGTCCAGTAGCAGCCTCCTTAACAACTGACAGTGTGGGTGCAAACAATTCCAGGAGTTTCAAAAAGAACTTGGCATATTTTTCCTCATTAGGAGTATAACTTAGAACTATATCACAACCTTCCACTTCACTTGATGGTCTAGAAAGTTCTTCACTTTTAACAAAGAATTTGTCAAGATCTGGTGGAAAGTTTTTGTAGGACTCCCAAGTTGATTTTGGGTAGTCTACCTTCATTTGGGAAGCTCGCAGTTTTTCTTGTATGATGTCTATCTCCATGTTGTCAGTTGTCTGTAAATATTGGCAAAATATATTTTTTTAATGTAATGCTCTGCAATAATTGATAAATAACCGTTACTACAATTATCTACATAACTGAAGATGATGTAGCAAGACTTCTATTAGTTAGCAAAGACTTCTAATTCTAAAACACAAATATAGATATTAGGTTAAGGTGTTCTGTGTGTCAGTGTGCTGTTGCAACTGTGTTGTTTGTATGTTCTTTGGTGCAGTGAAAGTTGGCACACTTAAATAATATGAAGAGAAATAATGTGCAAAGGAAAGTGTTTGGCTTTCCAAGACAGAACTATAGAGTACGGTATTTATAGCTGGACAGGGCTACTAGTGCAGCTAAATTTTATCATCAAACTTTGATATTTAATATCAAAATTATCATGTTATACAAAATTATATCTACTTACCTCTGAGAAGAGCTCTTTCATAGTGCCAGTACTTTGAGTTTTGAGGTAGGTAACTATTGTTTTAGAAGTAGATTCAATGGCAGACTTGAATGATTTTCCAGTGGCGTCTACCAACTTGATCTGTCTGAACTCCAAAGGGATGTCTTCCACATCTTCATCCAAGAATATAGGGACCAGTGTAAGTTCCCGATTCTGCAATACAGTATATTTTCTGGGAGTTAATGTATTGTTATTTAAAAAAAGTGTTTTCAAGAATTGATGCCTGTATATATTCCCACATTCAACATTCAATAAATTATTTTTAAATAACTACTGATTCTTATTTACTCAGGCCTTCAAAAAGGCACTCAAGACTTATCTGGCGACACTGGTACACAGGATCCTCTGCTTTTTAATTTTAATTTATCTATTTATAATCTTTGGGTTTTTTAGGATAGGATAAGCTAATCAGGTGCTATAGAACTAGTTGCACAATATGCGCAACCTAAAACATGTATTATTGTTTTTTAATTAACATAGCCTTTTTATTTAACTTTTTTTAATAAACCCTACTACAGGTATTTAAATTGTCTTCTATTTCATCAGATAGCTTAGCTAAGCTTTAAAATGTACTCATAGAATTTCATTAATTATTACCTATTTATTAATATCAGTTTATCTTTCATGAATTATAATTACCTTCTGGCAATGTTTAGCAAGTGCCAAATTAAATTCTTCTCGACAGACAGGTGATAGAAGGTAATCTTTGGTTATCAAGGCAACTAACACCTTAGTGCCATCAATGGCATGATATAGTGTTTGTTGCCATGTAGTACCTGAAAATTATGTGAAAATCACTTTTTTATTTTAAGATTTTAAAAACTCTCCAATTTATATTTCAATCTTTCTATAAATGTAATCCATTTACGTCTTCACAATTTTTATGATAAAAACAAATGCTTAAAAAATATATAGTCAGTTCAATATAGTAATTACACAACAATTAATGCTTAATAGCATACTGAGAAAAAAGAAAAATACAAAACATATAGAGTGTATATTAAACAAATAAATGATAATATAAAAATAATGACAAAAAAAATCATAAAAAAATAATTTTGAAATTAACTTGCCTCATATTGTCGTAACATACAAATTATTAACTTAAGAATAGAAATTACTAAATTAAAAAATGCGTACCCAGATTTTTTTACTGGATAATTTAATAATGATAAATATAATAAAAACACTTCCAGTGACTGGAAGTGTTTCTATTATTTTTCGCTGTAATATTATGGGTAAACATTTTTTAAATACACTAATTTCTATGTTCAAGTTGATAATTATGTTATTTAAAAAAAACCCACTTAATTTCAATAATGATTTTTATGATTTTTTTTTCTCGGTATTTTGCATCATACAATACATCTTTAAATATAGAACATACACGGTGCTATACACCACACCTAATTAGAATATATTCATATATAATAACTTATATTTGCTTTTTCATATTCAAATTTGAATTTTAAAAATACAAGCACCATGCATGCGTGTATAATCTTACCTGTCTTCAGCTCTTGAATGTCGAAAAAGACTTTCAAATTTGGGTCAACGCTGTTAATGATTTCCTTAACCTGCGAAGCTTGTTCAGAATTGCGATGGCAGTAAGAGATGAAGATATCGTACTGCAGTGTAGGCTGTTCATGTACGAACTCAGCATGCACCTCCACATTCAACGTCAGAGCCAGCTGTTCACAGGCAATGCTTAGTTTCACTGTGCTGTAAGCGAATAAAATTGTTACATTAGTAACTACTGTAGCTATTCATATATGCCTACAATGGAAAACCAATAATGTTCAGTTGGGTTTTTTTTCAAATACTGTATATTAGGTGTGGGCATAAAAATAAGACAGAGGGCCAAACAGAATTTTGGATTTAACACTGAGGGCAGCTTGCAGTGCTTTTATGCTACATTTTACTGATAATGGGTATCGGGCCATAAAAACATCTAATGTTTAATATAATTAGAAATTAATCTAATATATATTTAAATATTTTTAAAGACCCAAGACCACTTGGGTATGAAAGAAAGCTCTTTACGCAGAGTAGTACATTTTATCTATTATTTTTTTAATAAAGAATAAAGATTCCATTAATTACTGTAGATACTTACAGACAGTCCACATACTGCACTAGCCCCATGTATGTTGGCATTTTCTCCACAGGTTCAATATAAAAAGGGGCAAGAAGATCCCTCCGAGCCTTTCTATTACAACACAATGCTATGTTGTACTGCTCAACGCATGAAGTTGATTTCAAATAGTTAGGACTGAGCACTGATGGAAAGAAAAAAAATAAATGATACCCTAAGAAGTTGAATAAAAGACAATGGTATTAAATAATTATTCTAATACAGGAATGTACAGTAGACCATGCATTTTGCCAGAGATTAAACATACTGGTACACAATGCTCCCTGAGTATACCTTGATGTATAACATTCCACAGAAAAATACATTCTCTGCTACAAAATCCTACCCATATATACTCTTGGGTGGAGAGAGACAAACACAGGTATGAAAGTGCCTTGTCCAAGGCCACAAGCTACATGCACAGTGATGGTTTCAAACCCCTGACCTCAAGATTGAGAGCTCAAATCGCAATCGCTGCACCAATGCTCCCCCATTGTAATGACAGTTTAGGTTTATTCTAATATTATTAGTACTCGCATTTCGACTGACTCGTACACATAATTTTGGCAAGCTCGTACCCATATTTGGCTAACCAATACCCATGTTTAGTGTCTACCTTTGTATTACAAATATTATGTAGTATTATCTATTTTGATTGTAATCATGTTAAACTATATTAAAGAAAAACTTTCAGCAGGAATGAAGTTTATAAAGTCATGATCGCCGTCAGAACTATAACAAGAGGGCACTATATAGTAAGTATAGTGTCACAGCCATAAATAGGCACTTAAGTTTAGTTCAATTCGTGCAAAAAATTTCAGTATCTCTACTATTAGAGTTCGTTCAGGCAGACACTTGTAGTACAGAATAAGAAGTATTTAATATTAGATTTCGTTTTATTATTGCGCCACAATAACATACGAATACACGTTGGTATGAGTTAGCCAACTTGAGCACGAGCTGACGTAAATTTGTGTACAGATTTGCCAAAGTGGGTACGAGTTGGCATGGGTACGAGTTAGCCAAGGCCACAGGGAGGGTATGCCACACTAGCTATTCGTTTGTGTCCTTGGACATAGGCACTACGTTAGCTGCCCTCAATTTACATGTTCTAATGTATGTGGCATGTGTTTTATGATGAATATCCATGCGTGGTTTACACTAGTAAGCTCTACCTGTGATGACCCTCGCACAGCGAATCATAACCTCATACATGTCTTCCTGCCACACCTGATCTTTATTCAGTTCTTGATGACTGCCAAAAATGCGAATATCTGGCTTAGCAACTTCAAGGTTTTTGCTAATAGAAGTAGCAGTTGCTCCATCTTCATTGCTAAATGAAAGGTATACGTCATACTCTATTTTGACCGCCTGAAATCATAAAAACAATGTTTGTTGTGATGAGTCACAAAAGAATGTGTCACAAACACAGCGGATACAGTTCAAGACCACCTTTGGGACCTGAAAACGTGGGGTGGTCTCTTGGGTCTTTGAAAAAGTGGTCTCGAATTAGAAGGGGTCTCTGAATAAGAGGGATCTCAAATTCGAGGCTGCACTGTATATTTTCAGCTTAAAGTCAGGCTCCTGGTGTAAAAATGGGCAGTTACGCCCCTTTTTCCCCCAGTTTTTAAATATTCAAAAGTCTGTATCTCATTCACCGTTCCCCAGTTTTTCGTCAAACAACTTTTTTATGTCTTAGAAAAATCAGTTCTACAACATATCAACATTTTTTTTTCCTCCAGAGCCTGACTTTAATGATGGTCTTGTAGACATAAGACATAATAAGTAATTTAATCTTTCAGTTAAAAAAGAGAATTCATTCTACAAAGAATCTTACTTGAATGTTTTATTAATTAATTCTTTGACCATGCTTTGACAATTATCAGGAGAATGAAAAGGGATTAGCATTTACCATTAAGGCTGTGAAGAAATTAGAAATAAAAACATATGCACTATACCTTTGGAACAACACTTTTCATGTCAAACTTTTTCTTCAATGTGTCAAAAGTTTTAAGCACATCTGTAAAGCCAGTCATAGGTGGAGTATCACCCTGTTCAAATCTACAATAAAGAACGATCTTTAACCTGCGTAGGGGAAGCCCAGCTTTCATCCAGTTCACAGCGGCCTCCACCATTCCCTTCAACATAGTGTCTTTGCTGTAACCCTGCATACAAGTATCATAATAACTATAAGCACATAACGAAACTTACTCCAAAAATAATTACAGTGACCGTATAAGGATGCACCATATATATTTTCTACAATATTAGGGAATGAAACAAAAAAATATAGGTAAGTTTCTACATGTTAAGGATTTTTTTCATTAATTTTGGAAATGTTTGTATTGAACGATTTATTATTCGGTATATGATTTTTTTGTATAAGGATGCACCATTAAAATACATATGGCAATAATTTATAATTTTAAAGCGATTCCAAATAAAATCTGAAATCTTCTCAAACCATTAATTTCTACAAGTAGGACAGCGATTATTTGCTATTGACCATCATTGGTGCATGGCTAAATAAATAAATAAAATAAACATATATTTCATATGTCTTTCTAAATAAGATGTGGAATCATAGCAGTACAGCTGTAGGTTTCCAATCAAAAAATTCACTCCACACATTCTATGCAGCCAGGAGTACAAGTGGATCCTGATACAGTAGGTTTTAATACAGTAGAACCTCGATTTTACGTACGGTACGGGACCGGAGGGCGTACGTAAATCGGGGGATTCGTAAAATAGAGGTTGGGTTAAATTTGTGGTAACCTTTGACCTAATACGTACGTAACGCTCAATATACGTATGTATGAACGAACGATGTTACCTAGCTAGGCTAGACCAAGCCTACTAATAAAACCAGGTGTTTAGTGTGTTTATTCATCACTTTACGATGTCATAATAAAGTGTTCAAATAAAACCGTTGGTCTGGTGTATTAATTCATCACTTTATATCTTTGATTTAACTAAAGAACATGAAAATATTGTAAAATTACCTATACGACAAAGGTATAAGGTAGGTATAAACCCATGTGCGCTGCACTGGGCGAGCCAACCAATTAGCGTTCGTGTACGTGAAACAGCAACCATGTGCACTGCACTGGGCGA